TTTTTCACGTGTGTTGTTACGGCTTTTCTCCGGGCCGGAAATCCTTGTGTAACACCGCAGTTTATGTGATAAAAGCTGTTACAACACACGTGAAAAAATACGATATTTTTTACGTAATAATGCAGCGAAAATTTATGCGAATTTGCGAGAAAGGCTGCTCCAATCTTAGTTTAAGGCTGGGTTTTAATGTGAAGAAGGTTTTTTAATAGCTCCGTTTTCGGTAGAAAATTTATCCAGATAGCTTGTGAACAGTGGGCGCAACCGAAGTCATTGCAGTTACATGACACGGAAAAATCAAACTGACCTGAAACACAATTATTCCTGCAACCACTAAGGTGGAAATTAACTGCGTTGAGAATTTAAAATCTGAAATAAAATCTATGTATCAGTTTCATATTTTTGTCAAACACTATTAATCAAAAATTTAGAATATAGACAAAACTAAACTGAACTAAGAAAATATCAGTAAAGTACCTGAAAAGAACTAAATAAAACACTGAATTAGTTTTGAGTGGCATGCACCGTTAACAAATGCACCTCCAATTCGTGAGAGTGAAAAAGAACACGAGTGTTAACCCTTCAACTTCCAATAAAGTAAAAGGTAAAAAGGAAAACAGGTAAGCAGTACACTCAAACGTTTTGAGTAGAAGTTGTATCTCGCTTGACCTAACACCAAATTCACGTAACTGATTTACAAGGAAATGTTCAACAGCTAGAGGAGAGAGTTAGCAATCAGATCGTGGGAGTTAAAGGGTAAACTGTCTAGCAAGGAGCGTAGAATCGATAAAGAAACCGGCAGGTCAATTTTCATAGGTTATTCGTCACCGAGGTAATTCTTGACTAGGGAATTTAGTATTATCAACTAAGTTGAACACGTAAATTTGCGGCCGTATGGAGTTTCAAAGCTGACGTTTCGAGCGTTAGCCCTTCGTCAGAGCGATTAACGAAGGGCTAACGCTCCAACTGTCAGCTTTAGGAATCTTTACGGAGGCCAATTTACGTTATCAACTCAGTTGATAATACTAAATTACCCTGTTATACTCTCCCACCAACGCAGCACCGCTGTTTCTTTAGAAACTTACCCCCTTGACCTTCCCTCTTGTCATTGAGCCTTCTGCTCCCAAGATCTCATTAGCAATTCTCTCTACTGTTTGCCATACAATTATTACGATGTCAGTTCAGAGAATTTTGTATTGGATCAACTGATATTCCCCTAAATGATATTTTTCTTCATTCTCATCACTTGTGTACTTGATATTGTGAGGATGTTGTGAGAAGAAATTCTTTCTTTGTCGTTCATGGGAGTTACAGGGTTAAGCAATGTTGGAAGTTAATCTCAATATTAAATTCCAACCAAAAGAGTTTTATTGTCTATTAGAAGCAATCAGATTGATGGAACCAACCTTCTCTCGGTCTGTAGATTTTACAGATCAGCCTCTTGTACCATTTCTCGTTAGCCATGGTTCTGGAACTTAATTATTCCAATGTCAATTTCTACTTTAGCTTTATAGGATAACAATTGTTTTCCACTGAGGGGCCGGGCATTATTCATCGCTGGGGAAGGGGGTGGGTCAAAAGATTTTTTTGAGGTGGTAGTAGAGGGGAGGGAGTCGCATGGCTTTCAGGGAGGAATGAGGGGGAATTTGTCGTTGTTAGTAGGGTATAAAAGGGATACTATAAAAACTTAAATGCTCTATAACTGCTAGTAAGGGGGATCAAAACAATATTACAGAGCCTAATGAGAGACCCCTTTTTCCCTTCCTTTCCTGCGATGAGTAATGAACGGTCGCTTACTGACTAATGCCTATTTCGCACCAGTGATAGACTATTTTCGAATCGAATTACCAAACAGGTCCAGTTAACCTTCTGGAATTTACCGGATGAATTCTGGGGAAAATCACGAACCTCACCAGTGGTGTTTTGATTGTTGATTGTGATTTTGACAATTCGTAAGTCTACGAGCGACCCAAAATCGTTCCCAGTTTCTCCTCTCTTCATCTCTCGGGGAAGTAATTTTCATGGGAGAGGGGCTGGGTGAGAGAGACACGGCGTCTCCACGTCGGGCATGCACGAGGAGATCAATTCTGGCCAGCCGCGCGCTGATTTCCCGCGCAAAATCTCAAAGGAAAACACGAGAAACAACTTTTGTCTTACAATATGAGTGAAAGAAAATTGAAATCTTATTAGAAATCTGTGAAAGGAAACAAAAGTAGGGAAAAGGAGAACTGGAGAGTTTTCGAACACAAAGCTTATTCAAGCACGAGTTTCCTGTTGATTTGCCAATCTGTTTTGAGCTTTACCACAAAAAGTTATACGCCTTTAAATTACTCTGACTTACTAACTCGTGTGACACAACTTGAGCTTAACAAACTGAAAGCACTTCATCTAATTCGCACATGCACAAGCGAGCAGCCACATTTTGAACGCCAACCCCATGTCATCTTTGGGCTAAATAGGAGAACAGCATACTTACGTATTCGATCCTAAAGTCAGCAACTGCTTGACGTGAATACGCCCTGATGCTTCGATCAAACAGGTGTGATGTTCATCAGCCCCCAAAATTTCTGAATAGTACTGTACAGTGCAGAAGTTAGAAAGGATTTTGCGAAATTTTCATAAATTTGTGGTTTTGGGGAAGAAGTAGAGTCGTTGGAAACTTTCCATATTGGGGATGGCTGATGTTTGGGGGATTACATAGTTTTCAGGGGCAGTGGAGAGGGATCGTTGGTACATAGACACCAGAAAGATAATAATAAACAAAAGAGGAGCATATATGGAAAAGAAAATCTGAGTTTTTACGGTCAAGATTACCACCTGACACATAATTCAAATATGTTTCCATTGGACTGATAGAAAATTACGGCGTTTTTAGGAATCGGTCTCCATTTATCGGGAAGGGAGGGGGGGGGAGTTGACGGAAAATAGGAGGATTCTGGTTGTATCGCTATAAAACTTACCTGATTCCCTAACTAAGCCTTTGTAGTATTCTAGTATCCTCCCTAATAGGCAACGAATTTTGGAGAGATTACCCAAAGATAAATTCTGGCCGACTAATCTCCCCTCCGGTGATAAAAGCCATGTCATCTCCCCAAAATCCTCCAAAGCACCCACCAACTCCCCCTCCCCCCAGGTTAAAATAATGATTATTCCCTTACCTCGTGGGATGATTATCAGCGGAATTTTTCGTGATTTACTTTTTTTAAAATTAAATTTTCATACTATAAACGAGTAACATCGTCTTTTTAACAAACGGAACTTACCCAAGATGACAGCACTCGGCACTGCTTTATTTGCAAAACAAGTAGCACAGCAAACCTCAGAGCAATGAACAGCAGACAGAGGTAAGTGGGAACTTTGCCAAGGAATTCAATATATTGCTTGGTTTTTATATCTTCCTAAAAGAATAAAATGAAAACTTCAATTTGCAAGTTCATGCAGAGCAGAGCTCGGTGGCTTAAGAGAATGAATTCTTAAGTCGACTAGCCTCAGGAATAAACAAACGAAAAAACGCAAGAACGAGCAAACGAACGAACAAAGGAAGGGACGAGAGGGCGAGCAGGTGAATGATTAAACACACCGGCGCGCGCAACTCAGCGGTCAAACTTAGGGCATGCGTGAGGGGATCAATTTTGGGCGCTCGCGCGCCAATCTCCCGCGTAAAGTTCCTGAGGAAAACATATGAACCGCTGTCTCACAAACTAAGCAGAAAAAAGTTGGAACGTTCAGGAAACCAATAAATAAAACAAAAGGAAAACTCGAGACTTATTGAACACAAAGCTTATTCAAGCACGGGTATCCCGTTGATTTACCATTCTCTTTCGAGCTTCACCAATCAGGTCATACAGTTCTAAAACACCACGACTCACTAGCCTGTGTGGTGTTTGGTGACTCAGTTTTGTGAGTCAACTTGGTTCTGACAGCCCAAAAGCACGTCTCATAGTCTTTACAACTTTTGTATATGAGCAGAATTTGACCACTGTGCCTAGCCAATGGCTCATCGAAAATAAAATCAGTAAATAGGAATGAAAAAAAATAGATTAACTACTATAACAACAAGCACCTTGGCGAATGCCAGATATTTACATCATGATGATGATGATGATGATGATGATGATGATGACGATGATGATGATGATGATGAATATTATTTTTATTATTTATTGATCTTATTAAAACTACGTTTCTTACTACATATGATTCCGTGCACTGAAATTCAATCACAAGTCCAACGATGAATCTGAAAATAATGAACGAAAAACAAAAATATGTAACTGTGTTTTTGTGGGAGTTTACGAATTATTCTTTCACCACCTAAACAATTCATGGTTGATTGTCTGATTCACTTACTGACTAACTGGCTGGTTCACTGATGGACTAACTGAATGGCTAACTGACTGACTGACTAACTATATAAGGGACTGACTGCCTGACTAACTATATAAGGGACTGACTGCCTGACTGACTGGTTTACCGTCTAATTGAATAGTTCACTGACCGACTGGCTGGTGGAGGGACGAACTGTCAAAAATGACAAAGAAACTGTGGTGCTGCGTCGGTGGGAGAGTATAGCAGGTGATTTAGTGTTAAAAACTGAGTTGAAAACGTAACTTAGCCACTGTAAAGAGTAAAAAAGCTGACGTTTCGAGCGTCAACCCTTCGTCACATTGAACGTGCGCCAAACGTAAATACAGGAAAAAAACATAGTAGGGGAGAAAAGAAGAGGAAAGAAAGTTTTAACAAAAACTGCTTTTAAACTACCTTTTATTCCCAAGATCAGATTAGTAATTCCCCTTACTGTCTGCCACACAAATCAGAGGATGTTAATTTGGAGAATTTGGTACTGGATCAACTTATAATCCCCTCCTTGATATTTTCTTCATTCTCATCAATTTTCTGCCTAATATGTAATTGATATTGAAAGGAGAAATTCTGTCTTGAACATTCATAGGAGTTAAAGGATTCAGTCATGGCCTATTTGTAGATGACATTGGTCTTACCGCATGGTAGCATAAAGAAAACCCAGCAAAGAGCCAGCCAGTCTGTTCTCAGTTGTCAAACAGGCAAAAAATGGGTAGAACAGGATTCCATACTCAAGAACAGAAAAAAGAGCAGAAAAAACTAAAAAGAAAGATAACGCACATTGTGGTTATTGCAGGGTAATAAACCTAATGCAAGGCATAATATTAATGCAGGGCGTAATTTAAGAAGATGGGTATGCTCATTTCCACATTAGTTTGTTCTCTGTATATCCTGCAAAGCAATTCTATCGCGTAAAACATTTTAGAGAAATCCGTGGTCATTGTCACGTTCCTTCGTTAAAAGTACCGACCTTTGATAGTCTCTCTAACTTAAGTAATCCACTTTTACGCAAAATCTTTTGCAAATAGCAGTAATCCGAGAGATTCTCAAGACAAAAATCGCCAATGGGCAGACTCTGCTATCATCGTGTGTTTGGGAAGCCTGTGGATCTACTAACCTGATAACCATGGTGGGTCTGCGAATTCCAATGTTGAGTTAGAGAAGAAGGTACTGGCTGTTGCTCCAAAGGTAATAGCAATAGTATACCTGTTGATTTTGTCTATTCCTCCCAAGAAGTTGATTGGTCTGAAACACAAACAAGTACAAATTGTAGCTCCAAAGCCATTATTTATAGGTTTATTTCTACTGCCAAGATAGAAACGAAGCTTCAACTTACATTAACAACCCAGGGTATCCTTTGCAATATTCAAGTTTCCACCTGCTACGACGTTTGAGACATGACAGTATCAAAATAATGACAATCTATGGAAAAGAGAAGAATAATGTTATGTAAAAAAGGCCATTTTACAGTTGTGTACTTAGTTGCCAACCCTTTGACTTGGAGAGAGGCTGAAGGTGACCTCGTTATGATGAAGACCAGAATCTAGTCAGCATGATCGATAACAAAGTAATTTTCGATTGAAAAACAGCTAGGTTTGTATGAAATCAAGGTCAACCTTAGCCTCACTTCTGTTCAAAGGCCTGGAAACCAACTGTAAAATGGACTGTTGGGGGAGAATTTCGAGCCGTTGAGAACGATCTACCGAATGAAAGAGCAAACGAACTAATGAATGAAAGAACAAAACTAACAGACGAAATAAAGAACAAACGAACTGAACTGCAGAGGAAATGAACGAACGAACCGATCGAACTAGCTGACGAACGAGCACCGAGGACGAACTGAACGGAAAACGATCACGAATGAAGAACCCACGAACGGACAAAGAAACTGGACAAATAAACGAACGCACGAACTGAACGAATCCCATGAGCGAAAAATGAAGAGAAATAAAAAGAAAACAATGATAATATAAAATTAAAAAAATGAATTTCAAAAGCATCGTGAGGCTCATCAAAGCGATATCTTACTTCGTGCTGCTGCGAAGCCTTGGAAATATAATAATTATAGTGATAATAAACAATATTTAAATATTGACTTTTAGACCATTTATCTTTCACAACTATTTGAAAGATTGATTTCTAAATAGTTGCTTTTTATGTTGATAATTTTGCCAGTGAACTCTTATTTTGCTTTAGCTATGCAAGTTCTTCGGAGTCAATATACATTTTTGTACATAAAGCACGATTTGTTTTCGTTCTGTATCCATCTGTAAATATTCTAATTGAATTGTGAATAAAGCTCTACAAATAATAATAATAATAATAATAATAATATTAATACTAACAATAATGGGATTAAGCTGTTGAAACTCTACGAGGTGGCTCTTCTTTTCCAGTGAAACAAATTGTAACGAAACGAAGACACAAAACGTCTTTTATAAAAACCCGACCAGGTGGAGGCAACCAGCAAGCAAAGGGGTTGAACTTGGGGCAACTGAAAACAAACTCCATGAGTAGCAGGATGGGGGACTTAAACTCGCGACCACCAGATTACAAGTCCAGCGGTCTAAACACTCGGCCACACAACCCCACAAGAAAAACAACATGTCAACGCATGAACGAACTGGTCGAACGAACAAACGAATGAACGAAGTAAGCGGAAAGAGTTCGATTAAGTAAAGAGAATTATAAACTGGGAGCTAGATAGTTTATCTTCCCATCTCTTTATCCGTTTGTTTTATCAGCACTTCCTGCCTGTTCAGACGCTTGTTCACTTACCGCGGGAGCGAGACATCCATGATCAAATTTCCTCTCAGTCTGTACACATGAACTGTAACGCAACAAAACATATATAAAAACATCAGTCAATCATATCGGTTTATAAGTGATCGTTACACATGAAAAACAATAGTGGTATGTGAAACTTTCTGAGAATTCTGCTAGGGAGACTGCGTGACGCGTGGCCAAGCTTTTCTGATAATTATCAAAATGTCAAATTTGTCTGAGAAATTCACGTTCAAAGCACGACGTTTCATGAAAACCTTCGCGGATTAATGAAAGTTTGAAAATCAAATTTGCCACCTTGTGGTTGCCAGGCGCTTCACTCATTTCTAAATAAGTTACCTGTAGTTTGCTTGTTTGTTGTTTTTTCTTTTTGAAAACTTTGTGCCTATAAAACTCGTCAAAATAAACTGATATGCGGCGTGATGTTTGCCTGAAGACGTTGTCATTGCGTGACGCTGTCGAAATGGCCGACATTCGACGTTCATTCAACATTCTTCTGAAGCACGCATGAAGTTTAGCATATAAGTGGACACTGTATGAAGTACTATGAATATTCCTGTGGATAACTATTGCTTAGAAAGTGGAGTTCTAGAGAACATAACGATAATCTTTTACCTTGAAAATTCTAAACGGGTTGAATGTCAAAGCTGAACTCTTCTCCAGCAATAATTATGGTGGAACCCAAATGGTATTTAAATCGCACAAACTTATCGACTGTTGCTGCAGGAATCGGCTCGGT